AAACTACTCCTTATTTATATATCTCGCTCGAACGGATTCTTTCATTGTGAGAAAAATCCTCATATATTTTCCCTCGTAGTTGACGACTTTAATTTTCAATATCTCTAAATCGTTTTTTGATTGAAACAACGTTTGCGTGTCTACCATTTTTTCTTCCACCCAACTCATCATCACCGCCTTTCTCTCTTGTATTTGGACATATCGATCAAATTTTTCTCCAAAATGATCGTGAGCGTTAGAACTCGAATTGGAAGCCGCTTTCCTTGCTCTATTTCTTCATATCGGTCAATGACGATGTGTATTCGGCCGTTTGATTATTGTTAACTTCCATCGACATTTCTTGTACGCTTCGAACCAAAAGAAGTCTCTTCTTTCCCTTATGTCCTTTCTCTCCATTTTGGAGTATCCTTCAATTTTAGCCAAGGTTTAAGATATGGAAAAACTTTACCAGTTGTCTTTGGTTTTTCATATTGTTTAGATTGTTGTAGATTCCACCGAATTTGCTATATTTTAGTCTCAAATTGCGCCGCTTTGAACTAATTTGCTCGGAATTTCGACATTCACTTCCCATTAAACAATAGAACATGGTTCGAACATTTTCCAAAAATAAGTTTATGTTTGAGCCTCTCTGTTTATGGGGTCTTGGGAAGCCGAAACTCATGCTTGTGTTAATTTCTATTCTGCCTCTTTTGTCCAATTCACCTTTTCGTTTTGATTGGTTGAAGTGGTAACCGTGGGTTTTTTTTCTTTCTTTTTTTGGTCGGGGTGGTGGTGAAGGTTGTGTCGCGGGTTAGTCATCGTAGCCACCACAACCAACCACGATCACGGCCAACAACGGACTTCCGAGGTGGTGTTCGTGGTTCGTAGTTCATGCCAACCTGAACAACGGAGCCCTCTGTGGAGAGTCTGGAGGGCCTTAGTTTAAAATGTATATTTATATATCTTACAAACACTTAGAAGAATTTTATGAACAATTTTTAAGAGTTTTATAAACAAACAATTAATAAAGGGTAATCGTGTCATTATTATTATTTACATTCCAAATCATGTGACATAATTACAAACAATGTTAAAAAAAATCCCGACTAGTCACCGATTAGTCCCTAGGGGTAGGTGGCCAACTAGGTGACACTTAGGCATTTATCACAATCTATACAATTAGTGAAGCTTTATAAGCTTATAAATTTTTAATGTCTTAAAGATGTTCTAGATCAATATAAAACTTTTTGAGGAATAATATGTGTTCTTTTAATCATGTGTATCTATTATGTTATGATATTAGTTATATTCATCTGTTTTTTTTATGATATTAGTCATATTTATTTATTTCTTAGAATTTTTTTTTTTTAATTTTATGGTCTTGACTAGGTGATCACTAATCCCCGAGTAGTCTTTAGTCGCCGATAGACCAGCCTAGAGTAATCTAGCGGCTTTTGCAATCAAAAATTAATTAGGGTGTCTATATGGCAAATTGGGGTGTCTTTTAGCCAACCCCATATATAAAAGATTTGGATTAAATTCCTTTGAATTTTTTTGTCAACCAGACACATTATAATTTTATTTATTTAAATTCCAACACCCTTGCACTCCATTTTCTTTAAAAGATTTATAAACATTCTAATAACCAAACATATACATGTTTGGTAGAACGTTCATTGTTTAAGCTTAAACTATAAGGAGGGTTCCAAAAATCACTTATTGAAATATACGTCTTATAGGCTAGGTATTTTTTTTCTTTATAATTTGTATCATCTTCAATTTATTTCATATATATTTTCCTTCTTTTATCTTGAATAATTCCTTCCTAATTATCTATAAAATGTTTTAATCCATCTATTTTATATTTCAAATCTATCCGTTCTATTAGAATATTCAGCTCAGTTTTACATGTTTATCCCCTACTGTGGTATTAGTACTGTTCAACTCTCATGAAATACAATTCTATAATACCTTATGTTAAACCTTTGGATTCTGGTTTCAAATCACTTGGCGGAAAAGAAAGATCCAATAGGCAACGATTTTATCTACTGAACATCTAAATTTAAAAAAAAAAAAAAAAAGTGTTTAAATTGGAGTTTTATGTTTTTATTTAATGTTTTTGTTTTGACTTGCCACAGCATGGAAAGCATCTTGGAGCGATATGAGCGGTACTCTTACACTGAGAGACAGCTAGTTGCAGCCGATGCTGCACCGGTACCTTAATATTTCACTTTCTCACTGCTAAAGAATCATTCATTCATCGTACCTGACAATATTTTCACTCATGACAAATGCTTTTGATCTAGTTATTTCAACAGGATAATTTAATTTTTACAATTTGTTTCTGATCTTTCAATGATGACATGATTGACTCTGTTTGCATATATACACAGAGAAGCTGGACCCTGGAGTACAACAAACTTAAATCTAGGGCTGAACTCTTACAAAGAAATCACAGGTGCATTTTTTGTATTTATTCTTTCTTCTTCTTTCAAGAAAGGAACTAATCTTTTTCTTTTTCTTTTTTTTTAAAAAACTTTTGGTTGTTTGTTTGATTGTTTAGGCACTATATGGGAGAAGATATAGAGTCATTGAGCTTGAAAGAAATCCAAAATTTGGAGCAACAGCTTGATACTGGTCTCAAGAACATTCGCACAAGAAAAGTATGCATGCATATATATACTAGATATTTAATTTGTTAAGTACCTTATATATATAGTTTTAGATCATGAGTCACTGAAATTTTTATCTTGCAGAATCAACTCCTGCATGAATCAATCTCCGAGCTTCAGAAAAAGGTGGTGGATTTATTTCCTTTCCTTTTTGCATTTTTTTCAGGTTATATCTGTTTTTGTTATCTTCATTTATTTATTCAGAAAAACTAATTCACCATTTCACAATGCCTCAGTAAAATATTTTCTTTATATGTCTTTAATCTTCATAAAAAAATTGTTATGTTTCTTTAAAGTCTTCATTAAAAAGACTGGCATGTTGGTGTTGGTGATGGCGGCGGGTGGTATTGGTGGAGGTGGAGGTGGCGGTGGTGGTGAAGGAGGAGAGACGGCGGTTGAATGTGGCGGAGGAGGTGGGGATGGCGGCAGTTGTAGTGACAGCGGAGGTGGCAGAGGAGGTGGTGATGGTGGCGGAGGCGGAGGTGGAGGTGGAAAAAAATATCATATTAGGGTTACAGCTTAAAAAATGACTTTCAAAATCAGAAACTATTTATTGTCTTTAGGAAAAGAAAATGTCAAATTATTTTATGTTTTTTTGTCTTTTGAAAAACATACAGTTTTTTTCTCAAATATTTTTTTTGCTAGACAACAAACGACACTAATGGTTTAACAAAGAAGATAATTATCAAATTTCAAAGATTAATTTAACCATGCATAATAGTTTTCACTAAACGATATAAAACACAGATCTATCCTTGCAGTCTAGTAAAGTTAAATGTCCATTTTCATTATATGATTTTTTAGCAACTTCTTCCATTTTCTCATGCATGACATTAATATTGATTCACTAGGGAAAGGCCATACAAGAGCAGAACACTACGTTGACCAAGAAAGTAAGTTTCGTTTGCTCTTCTTCTAATTCAAAATAAAATAAAATAAAATAAGAAAGAAAGAAAAAAGTTGATAGGTTTACACTCTCGCAAATTTCTTGAGTTTGTTATTGTCAAATTGGGCAAGTGTGTGATATCTAGTGTGTATTCTATGAATAGATCAAAGAGAAGGAGAAAGAAAAGACAGTAACACAAAATGCTCATGAATGGGATCACCATAACTATATGGAAACCGATCCATCCTTCCTCATGCCACCACCACCTCCCTCTCTCCACATGGGGTAATCGGTTTTTTATATTATATTTGCCATTTAATTGCGATTTTTGTTTTTATATATAAGCTTTCTGTGATGCATATGTATTGATTCTCTTCTGATTATGAGAAGGCCACAATCACTGGCTTGAAACTCAGTGTAGCGTACATTATTCTTATGATCATTATGCCAAAATCAGGGATCATTATAATTTGTTTTTATATGTGATGTAGAGGAAATTACAACCAAGGTGGTGGTGGTGGTGAAGGAGAAGCAGCTGAAGGAAGGACAAACGAGCTTGACCTCAGTCTGCAGCCAATATATTCTTGCCACATGAGGTGCTTTCCTTCATAAATGACCTGGTGTATCCCATCAGTGCTTTATAATTATAAATAATGCTTATGTTAATTTAAAAATTAACGAAGAAACAAAATCATCCAACAATCAACAATCAAGTGTTGTGTAATTCCATGTTAAACTACGTTTGCTCAAGAACTATATATGTAACGTATGTATAAAACGAGAACAGAAACACGCTCGTTATTTATGTGTTGTGTGACGATTTATATATGTCTATGTCTTGGTACTAGATCTAAAGAATAATAGTTATTGATCATAACCGATTTAATGTCCATTCTGCACTTTATTTCACATTCAGATAGAACTTGAGCAAAATTATATATATGTAAATTAATTTATGGGATAATCTACCATTCTGCACTTTAAATAAGTATCTTTATGTGCACTTTTTAATAAATGGTAGTAACCTGATCATAATTCAACGTGCAAAGTGTTTACTAGGAGAGAAAATGACCGGCAATTAAATGCTATTAAGAATAAGGGCATACGATCATAACAATGTATGAGATAGAAGTCACGATAAGTACTACAACCAAAAAGATTTTATTGAAGGGAGGAATATTATCACATTTTCATTTTTCCACAGGAACAGGTTATATCGTATATACGGCGGCTGTAAATAATTTAAGGAGAAATTAGTAATAATACCTTAAGGTTTATGATTTTTATGGTATCTTAGAGTGGTCTGTGACAGACATATAATCAAATTTCTAATTGTTACAACTTATTTTTTATTTTTACACTTTTGAAGAGTTATTTGGAAATATACTAGTTTATAACCGTGGTACGGTTACAAAGATAAATAAACTTTCATAGTGAGAATCTAAAAATATTAAACAATTATTTTAAATAAATTATTAATTAAGAGATATTTTTTTAATTATATAAAATTATAATCGTTAATTTAAATAAATACGTGAAATTATATCATCTTATAATTTGTATTAATTTAATTTTAATTTATTAATTTAATGTAATTAGAGTGTGAAATTTAAATTTTTAAATTTGAAATAGAAAATTAATAGGTTGACAAGTGGCATGCATTAATTAGGATGCTAATAGGGTAACACATGGCAAAAAAAAGAATAAAATATGCATTAATTAGGAGGTTTAATATGATGACACATGTCAAAAGAATATTAAAATTATTTTTTTATTAGAATAGGGAGATATGAAGCTTAAGATTGTCTTCTCAGGTCCTATTTGTTTTTCTACAAAAAACATCTTCAAACTATTTTTTGTTGCGCGGCGCGGCACACGCGCAGAACTTGCCTTCTCTCATCAGTTTGTTTTTTTGAAAGACTTCAAACTATAAAACATTTGCACGTGTTCTGCGCGGCACAACACTTGACTTGTCACTTCAAACCTCTTCAGCTTTCATTTTTTCAAATGAATCTTTTTTTTAGAATTTTGGTATAACTTATTTTTTTAAAACTTTGATTTTTTTTTAAACTTTGATTTACGGATTTGATACAATTTCTTTTTAAAATTTCCATAACTTTTTATAACTTGATTTTTTTTTTAAAAACTTTGATTTTTTAAATTTTTTTACCGTTTCTGTTAATAATATTTTCAGTTTCGGTTGTATCTTTTTAAACATGTGTAATTCTTTTACTAAACTTTGTAGACATCGTTTGCAATATTTTCTTAATTTTTTTTATGTTTTTTAAAATTAGTTTTAAAAAAAATTTGATAGTTTCTTTTATATTTTTTGGATTTTTTTAGAAATTTTCATTTTTGTTTTTTTACATGTTCTTTTTAGAATTATTTCAATGTTTTAAGACTAGAATTATTTAAATTTCGTTGTTAAGAACTATTTTCAGTTTATAAAATTATTTTATTTAAATGTCAGTTTACTGTAACAGTCCGTAGATGTTAAAAAACAAACATGTTTTTTATTATAGGTTGCAGCCGTTTTTTCCACCTCTTCTGCTGCAGAGGGTTGCAGAGGTGGTCCGTAAACTTCATGAATCTTCGTTTCGAAAAAACAAACAACATCTCACTCTCTCCAAAAGAGCCTTTATGGAGAGAATGAAACTCCAACATATGTAGACACTTATAAGATCATGTTGCACCGATGTGGGATACACTAACACTCCCCCTCAGAGTCAGAGGCTCGATGAGTAAAGACGGGGATGTGCTGAGCCACGGGGGTGCGGGATGTTGGCTCTGATACCATGTAAATATATGTGGAGCTCAAGATTGTCTCTCCGAAAGAATCGTTGTGGACATAGTGAAACTCTAATATATATAACCACTTATAAGATCATGTTACACCGATGTGAGATACACTAACATTATTTTTCATCCTTTTTCATTTGATTGTGAGAGTGAGAGTGTCAGACAATTAATTAAAATTTCAAAAGTTATATTTATGACCTTTTTATTTTCAACTTATTTTCTTATTTTCTATTTTCATCATTTTCATATTTTTTGAAGAGTTACTTTTACATACTTATTTATATTTAACATTATAAATAAAAGTTTTGCCTTAAATTAAAAAAAATGTCATTTATACGTTCTATCAAAGATAATGATTATGAGTATTTCCATTGGGCCTCTTATTTTAAAATCCTAGCTCTATCCTTGTATGTACCCAATTATATACAATTGGTTGTAATATGAAATTGATAAATTAACAACAAACTGAAAGCGATTGTATATAATGTATAAGTGAAAAACACATCTTTTTTTTTAAATAAGAGGGAAACGGAAGTAGTATGATTAGTGAGAGCAGACACAATAAGCGGATGAGTCGAAGGCCTTCATACCGCTTTCCAGTGACTCCCTTGGTGGCGAAGTTGTCACCTTCTTCTTCAGTATCTAGTGCACCTTCTTCAGTAACTTTCTTGTTGAGATCGCATATATAATCAGAATCAAAGTTCCCATATAACCCATATATTGATTTTCCAAACTCCAAACATGTATTAGAATTACCTTGAAGGCAGCGAAAGATCCATTGGATGGCTTTCCAATGTCGTTTTTTCGGAATAGCCATAAAAACAACTTACAACACTTAAAGCATGTGATAAGTCGGGTCGAAAACACACCATAACATACATTAATGATTCAACCGCACTTAAATAAGGAACCTTTGGCATCTTATCAATCTCATCATTTGTTTCTAGATAAAGTTTAGAAGAAAACTGGAAATGGTCGGCAAGTGATTTACTCACGGGTTTGGCATTTTGCATGTTTAATCGTGTAAAACTTTGTTGGTGTAGTTGCTTTGGCTAAGTATAACTTGCATATAGATCGATTCCTTGAAATTTTCATGCCAATTATTTTCTTTTCATTACCCAAGTCTTTCATCTCAAACTTTAGGCTAAATGTGTAACGACGTCAATTTTCAAAACAAATTTTTCATTTAAAATTACATAATTCCCATAATGTATTTCACAAAAATCTCATTTATTAAGTTTACAGCTCAAACTCCATAATTACTCGGTTAAAATCCAGGATCCTCAAAAATGTAACTCTTTCACTGGTGTGTACAACCAAGTCGGTGTCGTCCCGCGATCCTGAGGAAACCTGAAACACATAACACGGTAAGCACGAAGCTTAGTGAGTTCCCCAAAATACCACATGCACATATTAGCCACTCGAGGCTGTAACTCTGGTAGACCTTCCGGCCCTACTCATGATGACCTTCCGGTCCTACTCTGTTGACCTTCCGGTCCACGCCCTGTCGACCTTCCGGTCTGAACCAGGCAACTCATAACATAGCATATCACATAAAACATATATCACATTTTACATATAAGCACCTAAGACCTTCCGGACACACATAGTTACCACTCTAGGTAAAGTATAGTGAGAAAACTCACCTGACAAGCAGCAAGTAAAGACCTCGCTCCCGAATCTCGAACTAGCCTCCGCCTAACACAAGGGATGAATATCTCTAAGTGATACTCTAATGACCGAAGGCTATTCTTCCTCTCTTTAACTCTTTGAAGTGGATAAAAGACCATTTTACCCCTCCATGGTCTCTACTACTCATGTTGACCAAAGCCCCAAAGTCAATAGAAGTCAAACTCGAGTCAACAGTCCATGTTTGACGCGAATCGCCGAGTGCACCCTTGCGACTCGTCGAATCCACTTATTTTCCTCAGAAGTCTCGTGACATTCCAGCTCAGCTCGTCGAGTTGACCCCTAACTCGTCAAGCTATCGCATGATTAGTTCTTCGGGACAAACCCTAACTAACTCGTCGAGTTGGCTCATTGACTCGGCGAGTTCATTCAGACCAAATGTTCATTCAGACGATTTCAATCAGATCTATCACTCCAAACACTAGATCTATCATCCCAAGGCTCAATAATCACGTAAAGCTTCGATCTTTACGTTCATACATGAGGTTATTGCTCCAAAATGCTAATACATGCCTTTCATGAAGGATTTAGCTCATCAACCCTCATTTGAACGACTAAAGTTGGGACACCTAGACTCTAAGGACCTTAGGAGGTCCAGATCTGAGGTTTCCAACCTCAAACCATGTCTCATTCAACTCATAGATTCAAAATGATGAAAGCAAAGCCCTAAAACTCCCAAAATGAGATCTAGTACAAGGAATGAACAAGATGAGGACTTTGTACCTTCTCTTAGCAGCTAAAACACTCAATACCACAGATCCACTAACTTCCTTTGTTTCCCATCATGAAGCTCTTCATCCTTCTTCATAGAAATGCACCAAGATTGCCCAAAATGATCACACACTCACTTCACAAAGGTTAGAACGGTTTAAGGGTTTCTCTCAGGCTCTCAAGGGTGAATGGAGGCGGAAATGAGGGCCTGAAGCCCCTTAAATAGGTCACAAACCCAGAAACTTAGGGTTTCTCTGCCCAGCACCAACTCGGCGAGTCTGCCTCCCGACTCGTCCAGTTCATTCATTTAATCCCATACGGCTGCTCGACCCTACTCGGCGAGTTGGGCTCCCAACTCGTCGAGTCGCTCCATAAACCTCAAGAATCTAACCGAATAATATCATACCTGAAATCCCGGATGTTACAATTCTCCCCCACTTGAATTAGATTTCGCCCTCGAAATCGCTCCTCAACAACACATAGCTCGAACCTATAACTCGAAATCACCACTGAAAGGACCTCATACCCCACCGATATCTTATTCCATGGACACCTGAATCCAAACAGGAACTCCCAAATCTGGAACAAGACCGACCCCTTTGTCGCTAAGATACCCCGTTTTCTGACCTTCCCAAAATCTGGAAACTCTAGCGGCATGGCCCGCTGCCAGACCACCCACTCAAGACATCACCATGTTATTCGCTCCCCGAATATCAAACCTTGACATCTCACTGCTCCTCTGATTCTCACAAGACAAAAATCCAACAATCGGCTACCGCTCACTCATACCAAGCATGCTAAATGATCTGAATCACGCCCTAAGGAACGGAAGGGTTCACATCCCACCAGGGCTCATCCACTGAACTGCTATCAGAACCCATCCGAACAATGAATTCTCAACACTCTACCCTCAGACACAAGAGAATAATCATGCTCGCTCAGAAGTGCCCTCAGACATCTAAAATCATAAGCCTCAGCTCCATTCCACATATCCCTTTTTAACATTGAGCACCCGGTCTGATCTCGACCCAACAGTGGAACA